AATCCCTTTCATTTATGTATTTCTTCATGGTTCCTTATCATCATTGTTTGATATACTATGGTGTCACTGGTATAGGAAGATCAGCTGTTAGTTATAATCACTTGCGTGCGTGTCCTAGCGAACCCTAACTACCAGTCCGCCCAGACCAAACATTACGACACTGTCCGGGTGTTCTGAAACCTTAGCTCACTAGGTGCCGGCTTCCCTGTTCGAAATGAACGCTCACAGCCCCGTATGCGCAGACCGAAGCTTTACGACACTGTCCAGGTATTTAAGACATTCACCAAACACAGAGCACTCGCTATCACTGTCTCCCTGCTGACGACGCACGTGATCCACCCACTGTGGGTAGGGTGATCCACCCACTATGGGTGGGTGGGCGATCGACGAGCCTATGCCTCCCCACGCTGAACTCCGGCGTTGGTCCTTCGACAGTCCTCCCGTATACGTTTTGACTGTTAACGCTCATAGGAGCGTTATTGGTTTGTTGCTGGAGAAATAAACCCTCAACGTTGACGCGTACCATATAATTCGGTCAAAACCTGTTAACATAAGAACATAAGAACATAAGAATGGAGGAAACTGCAGCGGGCCTATTGGCCCATACTGGAACAGTCCCGTTTACACCCAACCCCTATTGCTCATATGAGCATCCAACCTATGTTTGAAGCAATTCCGGCGTATTCCAGTTAATGATGATATTTGGTAACTTGTTCCATTCATCCACTACTCTGTTGGCTCCAGTGTTTACCTATTTCACGCCCTAAATCTAAGTTGTCTAATTTAAAACCATTGTTACGAGTTCGCTCCTGGTTGGATAATTTGGAGTACCTTTGTAATGTCCCTTTGTTTTAGCCTGCCTTCCACTTATACACCTCTATCAGGTCGCCCTCGCTCTCGTCTCTCAGGGAGTGCAAATTAAAGATACATAACCTGTCTCTATACTCAAGGTTCCTAATGCCGGAAGTTAGTCTTGTCATTCTCCTCTGAATTCTTTCAAAGTTCTATATCCATTCTGTAATACAGTGACCAGAACTGAACTCGCGTAATCAGGTGGTCTCACAAGGCAAAGATACAGTTTTAGGATGACCTCGCTAGTCTTGCTTAATAGCCTCCTTTGTATGAACCCCAAAGTACTTTATTAGCCTTGTTCACGGTAAAAACGCGCATTGTTTACTTGGCTTAAGGTTCCCTACTTATCATTACTCCTAAATCTCTCTAAGCGGTCGGATTTCTCTATGGCATCGTTGTTCATCTGGTATCTGGTTTCCTGTTTACATCTCTATACTGAGTACTTTACATTTGTCGACATTGAATTTCATCTCTGCCATTTTTCAGACCATTCGAAAAATTTGTTTAGATCTTCCTGTAGTTTTGCGAGTCCTCGTCAGATTTGATAACCGCGTCTATTTTAGTGTCATCAACAGAATTTACTTATGTTGCTGTCTATGCCGATATCTATGTCGTTTATGTATATAATAAACAATAATGGTCCAAGTACTGAGCAGCAGGGGAACTCCACTTGTGAGCGTTGCTCCAATGGGACTTAGTGCCGTTAATGCTCTTTCAGCTGTTTCCTGTCCTGTAACCCGCCCTAATCCATTTTAAGGACGTCACCTTTTGATGCCATGAGCTTCTACCTTTCTAATTAGTCTTTCGTGGGGACTCTGTCGAAGGCTTTGCTAAAGTCGAGATATACCACATCATAATAATTGTGCCCTCGTCCACTGATTCGAAAACTGATGAAAAGAATGTTAATAGATTGGATTAGGCAAGAAGCGTCGCTTGTGAAGCCATGCTGAGAATCATTGATCAATCGGTGCTTCTCCAGGTGATGATTTCGAATAAGTTTTGAAATGATTGCTTCCAGTAATTTGCCTACTATTGATGTTAGATGATTGGGGCGTGGTTAGGGATAGTGATCTATCCCTTCTTGAAAAATCGGTATTACATTGGCTATCCTCAGGATTCTGGTACTACACCTGTTTTTAGGACATGTTAAACAACTTTGCTAAGGGCATACTAAGCTCTTCCTTACATTCCTTTATACTCTGGCAAATATCTCATCGGGACCAGGTGACTTATTAGGCTTTAGTTTGTCTATTTGCTTACTAACATCGTTACTAGTCACTACTATCTCACTTATTTGTTTTCTTCACTATCTCTGAATAAGTCGGTGCCTCGAATTTATCATGTTTAGAATTTTGGTGGTGAAAACTGTTGAAAATATTTATTCAAATTATTGCTCATTTTCTCCGTCGTTATCAGTAGGCTGGCGGAGTCTGACGTGTGGTCAATAATCTTTTTCTCGTGTTTTAGTTTGATACATTTGAAAAAATGCCTTGGGGTTTAACTTCGCCTCCCTTGCTACCTTCAGTTCATTATTCCTCTTTGCTTTTCCTTATCTCGGTTTTTAACCCTACTACTTAATACCCTAATAGTCAGGGAGGTGAATTTCCTTACGTTTATGTCCTTCCCCTATAGCAGCCTTCCTTTGGCCAATGATGTTCTTTAAATAATTATTTATCCATTTTAGGGTCATTGTTGTCTGATCTGAGTTTTTGTATGGTATGTTCTGCCTTTTGTGCATTAAGTAACTCACTATTTAAATTATCCGTGGAACTTCGGCAATCTCAGATCTCGTTATCAGGTCAGTGTCGTCCTGTCAGGTTCACGGCCAGCGCGACACCCCCTCTCTCAGCTGCCTCTTTAGCTTTGTAAAGTTTGCCCTTCTAACAGAAATCTGGTACTTTAGTGGAATTTTCCTTACGTCTGCCCTGAAAATCTAACTGGAATCTAATTTCTTTGTGATCGCTGTTTGCAAGTTCGTTCCCTACCTCGACATTGCTAATGAGGTTTTCTCTGTTTGACAGAACTAAATCGAGTATATTATTACCCCGTGTGGGTTCGGTTATATGTTGACTTAGAAAACAGTCCTGGATCGTCTCGAGAAAATCCTCTGATTCTGAGTTACCTGTAAGGTCAGTCCAATCTATTTGGCCAAGGTTAAAGTCGCCTACTATACAGACTTTGTTGTGTATGGAAGCCCTGCGCATTTCATCCCAGATAAGTCGCTCATTGACTCTATCAAGATTGGGAGGTCTATATATTACTCCTGTGATTAATTTTTCCCTACCGTCGATTAATTCTATCCAAATTGTTTCTGTATTCCGCTCAGTTTTTATTTCCTTATTTATTTCACACTTCAGATTATCCCTAACATAGATTGCTACTCCGCCTCCTTTCCTGGTCTGCCTATCGGTATGGAACAGTTTGTAACCCGCAATTTGGTATTCGACTGGTAATTCACGTGTGTCTAGGTTGATCCATGTTTCAGTGAATGCAATTATATCGATTTCTTCGGTACATACCAAGGCCTTAATATCATCCATTTTGTTTCTCATACTTCTACTGTTCGCGTAGTATACATTTAAGTTAGTCGTGTTCTGAGTCCTTCCCTTACCGCGTTTAGTTTTAAACTCCCTGTCTAATTTAGTTTTGTCATCATTCCTAACACTATTTCCCTGTAATCTTTCGCCTTGTTTACCCGCTCCCACTGCAGTCTCCTCCACCCCCGTGCCCCTATGTTCTCTTAGCAGTTTAAAGACTTCGATATCTTTTGAACTGCCCCCTCTAGAGCCCCAGCCAGGGTTGCTACTCCATCCCTAGACAGGTGCACCCCATCCCTAGCATAAAGGTCCCTTCTGCCATAGAAGTTGTCCCAGTTGTCAATGAATGGGACTGATATTGACTTGCAATATCTGTCAAGACGGTCGTTAACACCAACTGCCCTTGACAACCATTCACTGCCAACTCTCCTTCTAGGCAGGACACCGCATATGATAGGGATCCCTCCCTTAGTCCTAATACGATCTATGGCTGCCTTGAACTTATCAAGAAGTTCCTCGCTCCTACACCGGCCAATATCATTGCCTCCTGCACTGAGGCAGATAATGGGTTTGTTCCCATTACCAGACAAGATATTGTCCATCCTGTCAATTATATCCCCCACCCCAGCTCCCGGCAAACACACCCTCATCCTATTTTTGTTTTTACCACAAAAGGCCCTGTCCATGTACCTTACCTGTGAGTCACCAACAATTAAAGTTTTTATACCTTCCTTGTCATCCCTGCCCCTGACTGTACTAACGTCCAATTCGTCTATCAAGGGACTGAACGGGTTGGTACACTTAGCTGTTGTTGTCGTTGTTGTCGTATCCTTCGTGTGCTTCTTCACCACCAGCTTGGTCCTCCCACTACTCACGACTTTCCACTCGTTTGATTTTTCGTCAGACACTGGCTTTACTCGTCCAGCCTCTCCTTTTAACTTCGCCAGCTCTTTCCTTAATTTCAGGTTCTCCAACGTGGCCCTCTCAATTTCTAACTTGGCCCTCGCCAATTCTTCAGTGGACCACTCCAGTTTGGTCAACAAACTCTCATACCCAAGACCGCACATATCACTGGCCATATCTGATAATTATCCCTCTGGAGCTAACCCTGCCGTGACCTTTCCCCTAGTGAGGTCAGAACACAAAGAACAATTCACATAACAAATGCTGTTATCTCAGGACACATAGAATGAATAATACAATCAATATACAGTACATAGCCTGTTAACATCTTAAGTATAACTCACATATTACATCTGTTGATACATCAGGAGACAAGTTGTATAATATGATCAAATTACAGTACATAAATATACTTATTAGTTATTTAGAGTTTATATTTACGTCCTAGGATCTTGGGTTCGACCAGCGTGTTGTTTCTTCTGCAAGAATTGGTAGACTACTGAGCAATCGCCATCCAATCGCAGCCCTAGACGAGGGCATCTGTTTTATATTAGACGACCAACAAACACGTTGTCAGCACTGCCCCCCTTCTCACCCTCCCTCTCTCTCTCTCTCTCTCTCTCTCTCTCTCATGTTTATCTTACTGTGGCGGTAACACTGGTTGAATCAGTAAACTTTTATTAATATTTGGTGTTTTAAAGCATTTGCATCATTTCAGGTAAGATTTTAATGTAAACTCTGCATTCATAACTTGTGGTCAATAAAATATTTATCCATCTAGAGTGTAACACTACACACTCGTGCATAGTGTGTAACACTACACACTCGTGTACAGCGTGTAACACAAACATACTCGCGTACAGCGTGTAACACAACACAGGGATACACTGGCGGTGGGGCACTACAGGTCCTTGTCGCTGCTGCTGGAAAATACGTCAACGATGTACTGAAGTCCTTGACGACACTGACGGAGGCTCCTGAAGCCCCTCTGGTTGATGAGGAAGGTGTTTGTGCTGGTGTATATTTTGCTGGCCAGCTGCCTGACGATGGCGTCGTCAGCCACAGCGTGACAGTCCTCGACGCCCTGAGTCAGCACCCTCGTTAGCCCCTCCAGCAGACGGTACACATCGTCTATGTTCTCTTGAAATATGTCTTCAGTGAGCGACTGATCAAGGAAGACTTGCTCCATAGCGATGATGTACTGCTGCACCCAGCCCGTGATGTTGGCCAGCTGTTCCTTGGCCTCCTCCTGGGTGGTGGGTGGGTGGTGGGGCGGGGTGGGCAGGGTGGGAAGAACCTCAGCACACTCACTTGCGTCACAAACCTTCACATAATCCTTATCTGTACTTGGGTCAAAGAATGAATCAATGAAGTCCCAATCAGTCTTGAACTTATTCCTGACCTGGAGGATGAGCAGAAGAAAGGAGTTAACACAGCTACTCAACAACTGACATTGTTGGCGACGGAGCAACAATGACTAACGTACAGTAGAATTAGTGTGCCATCGTGTTAGTGCTAATGTGGTCAACGACAGGCAAAAGTTAGTGTTTTTACTGAAGACTAAATTGTGTCAAGTTTTTATAAATTAACTTTATGTCAACATGTGTTACGTGGTAACTGTGTAAGTTTATCTTGTACCAGTATATCAACAGAAATACATGTTAAAACATACAGCACTGTTATTATACGAGAAAATATAAAATTTACCAATTATTGTCCAATAAAGTGAAAGGGAAAACTTACATAATCATTCTTGAAGTCGTCGATGATGGACATGATAACCTTTGCCTTGTTCACGATAACTTCTTGAAGGGTTTGGTTACACAGAAGCTCTCTGCCTTGTGACGACAACCTAGCGAGGTTCTGGAAGGAAGCCGTCGAGTTGTGGACGCTGCTGAAGGTAGGAGGGAGGGTGGTGTTGGTTGTCTTAGCCTCACTGGAGTTAGAAGGGAAACTGGTGTTGGTAGTCTTGTCCTCACTGGAAATAGGAGAGAGGCTGGTGTTGATAGTCTTGGCCTCACTGGCGGTAATAGTTGTGGTTTCAGTACGCGTGGATTGCTGACGGGGTGAGTCAGACTGATAAAAAGAGTCCAGTGGGTGGAGAGGTGACAAGGCCGACACTGTACTGGCGAGGGCCAACAAGAGAACCCAACTGACCACCACACGATGACCGCTATTGACACCTTTTTCAGAGAGGAAAAAAAATGTTAAAAGTCAGTTTTCTATGCAGGTGGACCTTCCCTAAATCATCAGCTTAACCAGAGATGTCTGCCTTTGCTAACACATCGCCTAAACATCGAGATCTACCTTCGTTAAAACGTTGAGGTATATCCTCACTCAGAACCTGTCAGCCGAAGTTAGGTGGAGGTTTTGGGGAATATATGTTCATGGTGTGAAGAGGGGGAATGGTCGACTTCGGGGAGGGGCGTTTGTAGGGGGTAGGAGGGTAATATGCCATGTAAATTGTTCAACAGAGATGGGGGGGATTGAAGACAACAGAGATGGGGGGATTGAAGACAACAGAGATGGGGGGATTGAAGACAACAGAGATGGGGGATTGAAGACAACAGAGATGGGGGGATTGAAGACAACAGAGATGGGGATTGAAGACAACAGAGATGGGGGGGATTGAAGACAACAGAGATGGGGGGATTGAAGACAACAGAGATGGGGGGGATTGAAGACAACAGAGATGGGGGGGATTGAAGAGACAACAGAGATGGGGGGATTGAAGACAACAGAGATGGGGGGATTGAAGACAACAGAGATGGGGGGATTGAAGACAACAGAGATGGGGGGGATTGAAGACAACAGAGATGGGGGGATTGAAGACAACAGAGATGGGGGATTACAACAGAGATGGGGGGGATTGAAGACAACAGATGGGGGGGATTGAAGACAACAGAGATGGGGGGATTGAAGACAACAGAGATGGGGGGATTGAAGACAACAGAGATGGGGGATTGAAGACAACAGAGAAATTAATAAAAGAAGGAGGGGAAGGATGGATGTAATTTTTTCAATATATTATCTTAGGTATAAAGGCTTTAAAGAGTAATAGATGAGGCCCCTTATTTTATGATTATTATAATGTGCCATTCATAACCTTGATATTAGCAGATATTCTGAGGTCAATAGTAATTACTTTTTACTATACATAAATGCTTGAGTACAATACTGCATTCAAGAAAAAAGTATGGAATTTTCTGATGAAAAAGGGGGGAACGGACTCCAAGGACCCCCTGGATCCGCCCTTGTATACCCTTCAAATTTGCACAAGTTCATTGGTAATCACATACCCTTAAAAAGTTTGGCAATTAGGGACAATTAAAATCCCTTTTTAAACTCTTACTTTACAGTGCGGATTGTGATTAGGGAGTACGAGAATCAGGTAACACTCACCCATATCTGCAGTGCTTAAGGGAGACAGCAAACAGCAACACAAGGGGATAATTATATGGTTAGTCCAAGCAGGAAGACTGTCTTTAATCCAGCAAACAGCATATATTTGTTATGAGTCTAGTATACAGGGGAAGACGGAGGTGGTGGTGATGATACGTCAGAAGCCGTGTATGCTGTGATGCCATAAGCAGACTCTATCACTTATATCTCACGCTCTTATCGACTCGTCCCTCCCTCTTCCCTCGTCTTATCAAACCTTCCCTCACTACCGTCTTCGCCCATTCATTAATAACGCGCCCCGGGACGTTAATCTTAATATTTCTGACAAGACCATCAAGTACCTGTTGAGCGTCTCCTGTCTGGCGCCGCCCCTCACCCCTCCCGATGATAGTCACCAGGATGTACTATACTGTACTGTAGATGGCTGGAGAACCTTATCTAACAGCCTTACGAAACGTCATTGTTTTATATGTGTGTTTATTATATTATTGTGCGTGTTTATGTGTGATTGTGTGTATTTATGTGTAACTGCTTGTGTACGTTAGTGGTTTCTTCTCTGTACAATTCGTAAAGAATAGTTAGTGGTGACGTCATTCCCGGGAGATAACTTATGGCTCCTTGAGTAAGAATTCTTTATCCGTTAGATTGTAAACTATAGAAAGGTTGAGCCCAACAGCTTACGGGAGTCCTTATACCTTAAACAACTTCCGTTTTGTTGGTATAGCGCATTCATATTCAAGAACATAAATATATCAATATTCACTAATATACTCATTATAACTGAGCTTCCGTCCACAGAGTCTATATTAACCTTACCATGGTAGATAATTTATTCACTTTAAATTTTCCAGCATGATGACGTCATGTCCCAGCTGGTTGTGTTTCGCCTCCACCAAACTCACAGTATCTAGGCGACCAACGGCTCTCAACTGTTACCTCCCTCGATCTCAGTTAAGAATAAGCTAATATAAGAATATGTGAGATGTTTTCAACTTGAGTAAGGTAAGAACAAACGAGTGATGTCGATATGTTAAGTCTTTGTGCTGAACCTAACATAACCTAATCTAACTAATCACTGATCCCGGAACTTAACCTACCTTAACCAAACCTAACCTAGAGTATGCGCTATACCTACCCTACCCTACCTTAATCTAACCTAATCTAGCCTAAACTAATCTAACCTTAGCTTCACCTTAACCGAACCTAACCCAATTTAACATATTCGTAACATAACTAAACCTAACACTCCCTTAACTTATGATAACTTACTCTGTTCACAATCTAATCAATTCTATTCTAAATTAACCTAATATATTTTAACATTTACCTCTAACCAGATCTAAGTTATACTTCTAATGTATACTGAATTAACCCGAGTTAATCTAATCAATATTGTAATGTAACCTAACTTAAACTAAGTTAACTTATCCCATATTGTTAAAATATTCCAACTTAACTGAAGTTCACTTTTGCCAAATTGTTAATTTAGCCAAACTTAACGTAACTAGAATCGCATTATCTTACTTTTAAAACAACCTGACTCTTCACCTGACCAATTAGTCGAGGACAATAAGTGACCTGAGGTACTGTACCTACTCCATATAGTCAAGAATGGAGAGAGAGAGATTATATTATCTCTATTATTATTGTTATTATTATTTTACAATAAAATAATTATTCTTAATATAATAAGTAATAACAGTACTAGGCTGATTGTAGCAGTAGTCGTAATAGGAGCTGTAGAAGTAGTCGTTTAATTAACAGTTTTAATTACTGTTATCATATCTCTCTCTCTCTCTCTCTCTCTCTCTCTCTCTCTCTCTCTCTCTCTCTCTCTCTCTCATTTTCAAAGCTTATTTATTAGGGTGTGTCAATTTTGTCAACATGTTAAAAATCAAATTTGGTAGTCAAAATATTGTGCCTCTTTATGTCTAAACTTGAGATTAGCAAACAAAAATGAATTGAAATAACCCTCACCTACATCAATTATACCTTAAAGTTTCAAATATCAGTATTTCAACAAATTAATGAGACTTGATTAGAATTATTCACTTGATATTAACTAATCTCATGTAAGCATATGGATTATGGAGTATTTTATGGTTCTATAGCTTGTGTACAATATGCATGTCAGAACATGAACATGAACAGGCTCTCCGTGTGGGACAGTTTAATTCTTGTTTTGACTTGTACCAAGCGTGAGGATAAGGCGCCCGGCTCACTCTCCTTCTAGATATCATAGACGGTGGTTTGCTCTCATTGCACTTGCACCTACTCTACCAGACGAATTCTACATTTTAATTATTGTAAGTAGGGCATATTGATTGTCGCAGTTACTTATATCATTGTATAAAACATTATGTTCTAAGAAATTATTATGTTATTTCTGTTACAGCATTTTTGATAAACAAATTGATATTTTTTGAAACAACAATTGAATTATGAAACATTGAAATATTTTTCTATTTGTCAGATAGTGTGAAGATGTCAAAATTGAAGACAAGAAGTCAGTTGTCAACCCACTTGAGCCTGCTAGTTGGTAAAGGGAAGGAGCTTCCTGTATCAGAACTTCCAACAGTGAGAGACATGCTAAGATTAGGGTTACTCCTTCGAGAAAAAAATGCAAAGGACAGAAGGAACTATACAGATAAAGAACTCATAAATGACATGATAGTCCCTCTTCTGCATCAATGGACAAAAGCTAATGCACTATTCAAACCACCTGTGATTAATCAGTGTCGAACTATTGAGCTAAAACTAACGAAATTATGGCACAAAGCAGTTGAAACATCACTTGGTAAAGGAAACTTGGCCAGGAAAAATGAATTTCTGCACACACTTGATACTCTGTTTGACATTTTGACCTGCAAGTGCTCCATACAATTATGTTCTGAATCCAACTGTTCTCACTCAGGTAAGAGAGAAAATAATTCCCACATTGATTGTGGTTGTCCTCGTGAAAAGAAGATCCCTGTTTTAGAGCTTGAATTTATAAAGGCACAGAGGACAAAGGCAGAAGGCCAAGGAAGTATGCAAATGGGTTCAATAGATTATTCAGAAACAAAGAAGCAGATTGCTAATGCCAAGAAGAGAGAACAAATCCGAGAGAGGGAACAAAAGAAGAAAATGAAGAGTGAAGAAGCCATCCAAAGAGAGGAAGAGCTGTGTCAAGATGTTTATCACTTCTTTGATAGTTCTTCTGATGAACAGGAAGCAACATCAGATGATAGTTCCAAAGAGCCATCTGAACCTTTACCAAAGAAAATGAAATACAACACAAGAAATATTTCAAACATTGCTTTAGCTAGTATTCGCCACCATGCTGGACTTCGTGAGGCTGCAGAAATTGCAACTGCCGCTTGGATAGATGCAGGCCTCATCAGCCGAGAGGATGTATCTTTGGTGATAGATCATAATAAAATTAGAAGAGCACAAGAAAAAATAATGAAGGAAATATCTGATCAGCATGAAAAAGATTTAAGCGAGGGAGGGCTCTCCTGTCTTTTGTTTGATGGAAGAATAGATGACACAAAAGTTTTGCTAGAAGTAGAGGGAGTGAACAGAAAGTTTCCAGGTCTCATCAAAGAAGAACACTACTCTGTCTGTTCTGAGCCTGGTGGTCGGTTTTTGTTTCACTTTGCTCCCGAAACTGAAGTAGAAGGGAAGAAACATGCAGAGGTCATTGCTGATCATATTTTATGTTGGGTTCAGGAGAGAGGACTTGGCAGTTCACTGCAGGCTGTTGGTGGAGATTCAACTGCAGTGAACACCGGATGGCAGGGGGGTGTAATGACGCATTTAGAGAAAAACTAGGAAGAAGACTTGTTTGGATTGTATGTGATTTACATACAGGCGAGCTACCTCTTCGTCATCTCATCCAGGTACTTGATGGTCTTACAAAGAGCAACAACAAGTGGTCAGGTCCCCTTGGCATCATGCTGGATGAAGCAACACAACTAGAAATAAATACAACCTTTCCAAAGGTCGAAGTTGGCCCTTCCCTTCCGGCGTTGTCTGAAGGAGTCATCAAAGATCTCAGCACAGAACAATCCTATGCTTATCGTATTGCCCAAGCAATAAGATCAGGAGAAGTGCCTCAGTCATTGGCTCTCTTGGAGATTGGACCTGTCAGTCACAGCCGTTGGTTAACTACAGCTCTTCGTTTCTGCAGGATTTGGATTTCCAAACACGAATTGAAGGGCAAAGTGCTGAAGAATTTGAGGTTAATTGTTGAATTTATTATTGGAGTTTATCTTCCCCAGTGGTTTAGTGTGAAACTTAATCCTATGTGGGTGGATGGGCCCAATCACCTTTTGTTTCAATTGCAGCTAGTAAGAACACAGAGGAAGGTAGTGAGGGACATCGTGTTACCTGTGGCAAGAAGGTCCGCTTGGTATGCTCGATCAGAAGCAGTTTTGCAAGCAATGCTTTGCAGTCAATGTACCAATCTCCGAACCGAGGCTGTAGAAGTCATTCTAAAGATTAGAGGAACGCTAATAGATGACGACCAGTTGGGAGACTGTTCGTTTCATTCAAGAAAAGTTCCCCCAATAAACGTCAATGCCACCAAATTGTCAGAATTGGTTGACTTGAGTTTGGAAGTCTTAGAGCCACCATTGACAACAAGTCTAACTAGCCAAGAATTGAGAAACCTTAAAGAGACTCCAATGCAGGTGCCGAAGTGGCCTTCCCACACTCAAAGTGTGGAGAGATGTGTGAAAATGGTCACAGAAGCAGCGGGCCATGTTTACAGCCACGAGAGGCGAGAAGGTTACATCAAAGCACAAATAGCAAGCAGACTACTGATGACAAGAAACCAAAGCAAAGAGAGTATGAAGGCATTGGTTACTTTCAAATAGACTACGAATAATAAAATATAATAATTTGAAACTTGAAACAGTAACATGTGTGCAAACGCTGGTTATGTTATAAATTCACAAATATGTACATTTAAAAATCCATTTGATGTAGGTAGGACTTATTATAAAAAAAAATTTATGCCAGAATATTGTTTTGCATGCTTAAAGACTACAATAAATTGCTACCAAATTACTCGATTTTCAATTTAGCCAGTTCACCCCCTAAATTGACACACCCTAGCGTCCAGCCTCCCCTTTTAACTTCGCCAGCTCTTCCTTTAATTTCAGGTTCACCAACGTGGCCCTCTCAATTTCTTTCTTGGCCCTCGCCAATTCTTCCATGGACCACTCCAGTTTGGTCAACAAACTCACATACCCAAGACAGCACATAGCACTGGCCATATCTGATAATTATCCCTCGGGAACTAACCCTGCCGTGACCTTTCCCCTAGTGAGGTCAGAACAATCAGCCAGAAAGTGTTGTGACGGCACAGAGTGTGAGCTCTTTCAAGACAAGACTTGACCAACACTGGAGCAGGTTCAGGTACATTCAGGAGCCGGTGCATGCCCAGTACTTGCCAACAGTGCGTAACAGAGACGTGACCGATCGCCCAAGCGGCTAACGAGCCGATCAGTGGTGAAGAGGATAACAGAAAAACAAGTATCAGTACAATAAACATTTAAAAACATTTAGAAGCGTTAACACTAAACCCAACAACCAAATCGAGTACCAACATACACGTAGGTAACCACTCAACTGCTTGTAACAATAACAACAATAAATTTTACATCACATCTAATACACAATATAATGATAGATATTAACCAATATTAGTTCATAAACTATCAACTAGGATTGTATCTTATATTTAAGTAATAAATTTTATCTAGTAACACTACACACTCGTGCATAGTGTGTAACACAAACATACTCGTGTACAGCGTGTAACACAACACAGAGATACACTGGCGGTGGGGCACTACAGGTCCTCCTTGTCGCTGCTGCTGGAAAATACGTCAACGATGTACTGAAGTCCTTGACGACACTGACGGAGGCTCCTGAAGCCCCTCTGGTTGATGAGGAAGGTGTTTGTGCTGGTGTATATTTTGCTGGCCAGCTGCCTGACGATGGTGTCGTCAGCCACAGCCTGACAGTCCTCGACGCCCTGAGTCAGCACCCTCGTTAGCCCCTCCAGCAGACGGTACACATCGTCTATGTTCTCTTGAAATATGTCTTCAGTGAGCGACTGATCAAGGAAGACTTGCTCCATAGCGATGATGTACTGCTGCACCCAGCCCGTGATGTTGGCCAGCTGTTCCTTGGCCTCCTCCTGGGTGATGGGTGGGTGGTGGGGCGGGGTGGGCAGGGTGGGAAGAACCTCAGCACACTCACTTGCGTCACAAACCTTCACATAATCCTTATCTGTACTTGGGTCAAAGAATGAATCAATGAAGTCCCAATCAGTCTTGAACTTATTCCTGACCTGGAGGATGAGCAGAAGAAAGGAGTTAACACAGCTACTCAACAACTGACATTGTTGGCGACGGAGCAACAATGACTAACGTACAGTAGAATTAGTGTGCCATCGTGTTAGTGCTAATGTGGTCAACGACAGGCAAAAGTTAGTGTTTTTACTGAAGACTAAATTGTGTCAAGTTCTTATAAATTAACTTTGTCAACATGTGTTACGTGGTAACTGTGTAAGTTTATCTTGTACTAGTATATCAACAGAAATACATGTTAAAACATACAGCACTGTTATTATACGAGAAAATATAAAATTTACCAATTATTGTCCAATAAAGTGAAAGGGAAAACTTACATAATCATTCTTGAAGTCGTCGATGATGGACATGATAACCTTTGCCTTGTTCACGATAACTTCTTGAAGGGTTTGGTTACACAGAAGCTCTCTGCCTTGTGACGACAACCTAGCGAGGTTTTGGAAGGAAGCCGTCGAGTTGTGGACGCTGCTGAAGGTAGGAGGGAGGGTGGTGTTGGTAGTCTTGGCCTCACTGGAGGTAAGAGAGATGTTGACGTTGGTAGTCTTGGCCTCACTAGAAGTATGGGTAATGTTAAAGGTAGTAACCATAGCTTCAGTAGACGTGGGTTGTTGACGGGGTGAATCAGGGTGATAAAATGGAACCAGCGAGGCTGATGCTGTACTAACGAGGGCCAACAAGAGAACCAAACTGACCACCACACGGCGACCGTTACTTACACCTTCTGTGGGAGAGGAACAACATTTATAAAACGTTAGCTATCATCCAGGTCTTCCTTCGCTGAGAATTTACTTAATTTCGAGGTGGACCTTACTTTAGCGTTTAACTATTTTCGAGGTGAACTTCGTTAAAACTTTGATAGACACAATTTGGAAAGGGAAGATATTTAAATGAGGAGACAGGAATATGTCTTCTTTCACGTTCGGGATATACGAGAGAGAGAGAGAGAGAGAGAGAGAGAGAGAGAGAAAGAAATCCTTGCTTGCGGTATGAAACAAATGTATCCACAGAATCAACAAAAGCGTTAACATAAGATGGTAGGGAAAAATTAATCGTAGGAGTAATATATAGACCTCCTAATCTTGATAGAGTTAATGAGCGACTTGCCTGGGATGAAATGCACAGGACATCCAGTCATAGCAACGTCTATGTAGTAGGCGACTTTAACTTTAGCCAAATAGATTGGATCGTCCTTACGAGTAACTCAGAATCAGAGTATTTTCTTGAAAAAGTTCATGGCCGTTTCCTAAATCAACATATAACTGAAACCACCCGGGGTAATAATATACTCGATTTAGTTCTGTAAAAAAACAGAAAACCTCATTAGTAATGTCGAGGTAAGGAACGAACTTGCTAACAGCTATCACAAAGAAGTATGTTCCAAATTAGAATTTAATGGGAACCTCAAGGAAAACCCATCAAAGTCCCAAATTTCAGAAGGGGCCACGTGAGGTGGCCTCACACAATGCACTCACAGAGGGCGACCTCACTTTACCTGAAGACCTGATAACGATAACCTCACAAAATATGACGGTTGAGGATGACCTGATCATGAGATCTAAGGTTGACGAGTTCCACAACAATTTAAATAATGACCCCAAATGGATAAATAATTATTTAAAGACTATTATTAGATGAAGGAAGGCTATAGGTAGGAGAATATATCATGGTGAAGTTTACCTCCGAGATTATTATAAGGTATTGGCCAGTAGGGTTAAGACCGAGATAAGAAAAGCAAAGAGGAACAATGAACTGAAGGTAGCAAGGGAGGCGAAGTCACACCCCAAGGGATTCTTTCAAATGTATCAAACTAAAACACGAGAAAAGATTGGACCAATACAGTCAGATATCGGCGAGCTAACTGATAACGACGGAGAAATGAGCAATAATCTGAAAACAAAAAATTTTCAACAGTTTTCACCACCGAAAATTTAAACATGATACCCGAGGCACCGACTATATGCAGAGATAGTGAAGAAAATAAATTAACCGAGATAGTAGTGACTACTTAAGATGTTAGTAAGCAAATAGACACCAGGTCCAGATGAGATATATGCCAGAGTATTAAATGAATGTAAAGAAGAGCTTAGTATGCCCTTAGCAAAGTTGTTTAACATGTCTTTAAAAACGGGTGTAGTGCCAGAATCCTGGAGGATAGCGAATGTAATAACGATTTTCAAGACGGGAGATATAACATTATCCTCTAACTACCGTCCAACTAGTTTAACATCAATTGTAGGCAAATTACTGGACCATTATTATTTATTATAAACATATACGACATAGATATAGGCGTAGACAGCAACATAAGTAAATTTGCTGACAACACTAAAATAGGACGAGTAATTAAATCTGACGAGGACTCGGCAAAACTACAGGAAGATCTTAACAAAATTTTTGAATGGTCTGAAAAATGGCAGATGAAATTCAATGTGGATAAATGTAAAGCACTTAGGCTAGGAGATGTAAAAAGAGAAACCAGATACCAGATAAACAACGATGTTATTGAGAAATCCGACTGTGAGAGAGATTTAGGAGTAATGATAATTAGGAATTTTAAGTCAATTAAACAATGTATATTTGTTCGAAACAAGGCAAATAAAGTACTTGGGTTCATACAAAGGAGTGTTAGTTTCAAGACCAGCGAGGTCATCCTAAAACTATATCTTGCGCTTGTGAGACCTCACTTGGATTATGCAGTTCAATTCTGGTCATCGTATTGCAGAATGGATATAGAATTCCTAGAAAGAATTCAGAGGAGAATGACAAGACTAATTCCGGGCATTAGGAACCTTGAGCACAGAGACAGGTTAAAGCATCTTAACTTGCACTCCCTCGAGAGACATAGAGTGAGGGGCGATATGATAGAGGTGTATAAATGGAAGGCAGGGCTAAACAAAGGGGACATTACAAAGGTACTCAAACTATCCAACCAGGAGCAAACTCGTGACAATGGTTTTAAATTAGACAAATTTTGATTTAGGCGCGGAATAGGAAAACATTGGTTTGGAAATAGAGTAGTGGATGAATGGAGTTACCAAACATCATCATTAACTCGAATACGCTGGATAGTTTCAAACATAGGTTGGATATACAGTATGAGCAATAGGGGCTGAGTGTAAATGGGGCTGCCCTGTATGGGTCAATAGGCCCGCTGCAGTTTCCTCCATTCTTATGTTCTTATGTTCTTAGTGTAGGTGAGTGAGTCAGGCAACAGTTACCCATGAGGACGTGGGTAGACAGCAGACTGCAGATAGTAAACACAGGGAGGTATAGTCAGCTAGCAGACAAAAGGAGACGCTCTCAGCTCCGGGAAATGCAGGGTGGTGCGGTGAGGTGTGAGGCTCCCTGTGATCTGGTATCGACAGCGGACTCCACCCGACTTTATTCTATTCAACAAGACCTTATCATCTCCTTCCTCGCCCCCCTCACCCCCACACTTCTTCATCCTCTTACGTCATTCTTTCGTCAATAATTTTTCCCGAAACGTTCTTCTCTAATTGATACAAGACAGTTCCGTCAAATATCTCCAGGATCTCCTCGTCTGACTCACGGAGGATATAGCCCTGACGCAGAGGTCAAAGAATGTTCCATTAGTAGAAAAGGTCATCATTGTGAGGGAAAAATCACATCTCAACATCGTAGTTATATTGTTAGGTGAATTATTGTGTTTATGTCTGTAATTTCAAGAGTTATGGGAATATCTTGTTAGGTGGCCAGTCTAGTGATGGCTGTATAAACCCTGGAGAGGTATGCATCAAATGGTATTAGTAATATTCAGTTTCTTCTTTTTTTTCTGTTATCCTCTTAACCACTGATCGACTCGTTAGCCGCTTGGGCGATCGGTCGTCTCTGTTACTTTCCTTTTCTGTTATCCTCTTAACCACTGATCGACTCGTTAGCCGCTTGGGCGATCGGTCGTCTCTGTTACGCACTGTTGGCAAGTACTAGGCATGCACTGGCTCCTGAATGTACCTTCTTTGTTGATACTAAGAATTGTACGGTAGGGTTATATACTGTATATGAAACTACTGTATTCCTATCAAATTTATCAATGGTATAGAACTATAGACAATACTCAAAATGATATCAAAGGAAATAAAAAATAATAAGTTTGTTAATATTAAGTAATAACTGGTCTGGTAACTTGAAGGGTAAATACTTTGGTAACCATTGACGGATTTAGACCTGTGGAGGCCCATGGGCAGCCTCCCTGTGGAGGCCCCCCTCATTATAACTACCCAAGAGGGTGGGGTGGCGAGTGAAGCGAGCCTAAACATCTGGGAGTTCTGGGGGGCGCTGTAAGCCCCCCGGGAAATTTTTGAAATTTGAACACTTCTTTGGAGAATTTTGAAGCCATATGCAGTTATATTGAGGAAATTAGAACATTGAGAAATTTTTAATTAACTGTATATTTATTGAGTGTACAAATTCCCATCACACACACACACAAAAAAAAGTGAGACATGACTGGAGTCATTCATGTGGTTTCAAGTCGACCAGCCCTGATATAGCTACTACAGCACATGTCAAAAATTTCCAAGAGACTTCACAGAAAAGAATATATTATTAGTTATTACAGAGAGATGATTCTTTGCATTATTAATCAGATAAACCTCTACTTAAATAATGGTTCTGTCCAAGACTGCATGTATAGGCTTCTTTAAGTCCAAGGTCAGATAGATTCAGAATAGGTATTAACTCAACTATAAATAAAATTGAAGTTTTGCATCCAATAGTAAAACATTTGCAAGACATGTTCTAGGAAATGACAACTGACAAGATCATTCATCACTGAGCGGCGACGACTTCACTCAACAAGCACACATGACAATTCTCTCTCTCATTTTCAGGGCCGGTGCAAGATGATTTGGCGCCCTATGCAAGCCTTTAGATGTACGCCCCCTTGAAAGTTTTGATAAGCTAATGTAGGTACAGTAACCCATTACTACATTGTGAAACTGGAGATTAGCTTTTATTGTAATGGATACATAACCAAATATATTCTACAAAACATATATCAAATTATTGTTGAAAAAAATACAATCACTAGTACACACTCACGCAGTACATACGTCCACTAGTACACACTCACGCAGTACATACGTCCACTAGTACACACTCACGCAGTACATACGTCCACTAGTACACACTCACGCAGTACATACGTCCACTAGTACACACTCACGCAGTACATACGTCCACTAGTACACACTCACGCAGTACATACGTCCACTAGTACACACTCACGCAGTACATACGTCCACTAGTACACACTCACGCAGTACATACGTCCACTAGTACACACCACGCAGTACATACGTCCACTAGTACACACTCACCAGTACATACGTCCACTAGTACACACACACCAGTACATACTCACTAGTACACACCACGCACATAATTAGCACAGACACTCACGCAGTACACATGTCCACTAGTACACACTCATGCAGTACACACAGTCCACTAGTACACACTCACGCAGCACATACGTCCACTAGTACACACTCACCCAGTACAGTACAGCACGTCCACTAGTACACACTCACGCAGTACATACGTCCACTAGTACACACTCACGCAGTACATACGTCCACTAGTACACACTCACGCAGTACATACGTCCACTAGTACACACTCACGCAGTACATACGTCCACTAGTACACACTCACGCAGTACATACGTCCACTAGTACACACTCACGCAGTACATACGTCCACTAGTACACACTCACGCAGTACATACGTCCACTAGTACACATCGTAACACACGTATGATAAAACTTGACGAAATGACGAGAAGCACTAAGATTGAAACAAAGACTAGCTAAGGTGTACAGCATTATAGACAGAGTACAAGAGAAATCAAATAACTACATACATTATAAAAATAATAAGACAGTTTCAACTTACTGTTTAGCAGGATAGCCAGCTGTTGAAGTTGTTGCCACTGCACCACACTTTTGGAGATGACTGACTCGGACTGAAGTGGCCTGGTCACTGGTGTCTGTGAGTAGTCTGGACAGCTTGAATCTTGATCTCCAACTAATCAAGTTGTTCCAGGTTACTATTTGCCTGGCGGCTGGCGGCTCTGGCCGCTGGCCAGTCTCAGTGGGATTATGTTATGCGAGGTCAAACTTCAGAGGTCAGTTAACCTTGCCTCATCCCGACAAAGGCAGGGAAGGGGCGGCTCAGCCGCCCTGGCAGTAAGGGAGGGGAGGGGATGGTGGGGTTGGGAGAAGGGTTCCTCAGATGTCAGCCTTCAGGTCACTGCTCGACAGTTCTCCAGGCCGCCAAAGATAAGGACCGGGGTTAGTACCTCCTGGGGGTTAACGAATAATATTAAAAAAGAAAACACAGTCGGCTACCGTCTACCCACCCCCCCCCCCTTCTAACATCCTGCTCCGACCCTCCACGGCTCCACCACAGTGTCCACCACAGTTTTCCCTTCATTTTTAATTTTATCAAAGTTTGTCCTAAATTTGTGGCGTCCCCAGATGTTGGCGCCCTAGGCGATCGCCGAGTTCGCCTAGTGGGTAGCGCCGGCCCTGCTCATTTTACATCTGCAAGACATGTTTATGTCTACTATTGGGAACTTCACGAATCATGGGCGATGCAAGTCTCCTCTTTAATCGACAGACACATGACAACAGATGTGCAGATACTACACGACCCAACCCCCTCCGACCGACTGTCAACAAACACAGCGCCCTGATGGCATTCGTAATGGAAGTGATAATGAAAAAATATTTTATTTGTTTTTTTTTAATCTCAATTTCGTTATTCCATGTAGTTCATTTTTAATCAATATATGTTTGTGGAATTCTAAATATATTATTAGCAAAACAAACAATAGCATTCATTAAAAATACACAGTTCATAGGAAAACCAGGTATTCATGAATTTCAAGGAGTAGCTAGCCTAATTTCTATCACGCTTCTTGCTGAACATAGTTTTACGTGATGGAACAGATAAACATGAATTTTAAAGAATGAAAATAAAAATAATCCAAATGAATAAACAAATAAATAAAATATTGTAATATGTGGAGGCCCCCAGATTGTGGTGGCCCCTGGGCAGCTGCCTGCTTTGCCCACTCCTGAATCCGGCCCTGTTGGTAACACTAAATAACAGTTGTGTGCATGAACCGGAAACTTAAGGACATTTGTCTATCGAAGATATATCTTTACCTCGCGAGAAGGCCAAAAAGATAACGAGGAAAACTTTTTTCTTGATATTTTTTTTTTACAATTTGTTTCCCGCCTGAACACTATTCTACAGTCGGTAACTGTTATTTTAGGTTTGGTTAGGTTGGGGGCCGACGAGAGCTGGCCAGGGTCCCGTGAAAGATAAAGTTATGGACCCCTTTTCAGATAAACTGTATTTAATATTTATATTCCCGTTCCTGGGTTACCCAGAGGTCCAGACGCTGGGGATTTATGCCGGCTTCTCCGCCCTCTGAAAACCTCTGGTTAGGTTTGGTTAGATAGTTTAGGTTCGGTTAGGTAGGCAAGATTGGTTCATTTTACGAACGAATATTGCCGGATTTTGGTGAACGATTTCATCAGTTACACCTGGCAACTGCTGGTCTATAACTATCACCCCAATAATATAAGAAAATACCCCAAATTATTGCCCTAACCTAACCTAAAAGAAAATGATAAGTTTTTATTATCACCTATATATACAGTATATATATATATATATATGCTGATAACTACAAGGAAAGAAGAAAACACGAAGTTCCCAAGCGCTTTCGTGTAATTCACATCTTCAGGGGTGAGTACAGACAGTATACCTAGATCACGCGCACCTACAGTGATTTACTTGCATATATATATATATATATATATATATATATATATATATATATATATATATATATATATATATATATATATATATAATATATATATCCTCTCTCTGAAAAGAAGCAACTAAACTTCCCGGAAACTCTGCATGTAAACAAAGGAACGGATCTTGCGGCCCTAGATCAGTGTTCAAGACAGAACCGTCATTCCGTGTTACGAATATTGTTCTGTGTAAGTTGTTGATAAGTGTGTAGGTAATACTTAATGGCTAGTTAATCAAATAATGTCAAAGGGAAAAGGTAATTTTAATGACGATATTAATACGTAGGCATTACTTTAATGGATAGTTGCAGGCCCTGTTGATATCGAGGAAAAAACGTAAAAAAAAATTATGGGTAACAGGTCTAGTGATAATACGTTTCAGGATTTGCCGTTATTAATTCATACAAATCAACCAGTGCATCAACAGATAACAAATCGTTCGTGTAACGGAGATGTCGCGTCACTTCATAAACGTAAAGAGACAGGACGTGTCATACGTACTTCAATC